AAGAGGATCAGAGGGGGAAGCAGACCCCCAGCTGAGCAGGGAGCCTGATGAGGAACTCGATCCCTGGACTCCAGGATCATGACCTGAGCTGAAGGCAGTCGCTTAACCAACTGAGCCACCCAGGCGCCCGAGTATTAATATTTATAAGCCTAGGGTCTTGACTCGAAGAGCCATTGGGCAGGGCTAGATTATCCTATCAGAGGCTCTTTATATCAAATATTTTTCATTAAAGATGGGCCCTCTATAAGCTCTAGAGAGTCTGAAGTGACTGGCATATGCCACATAAAATTAAATCTTCCTTTACACTTAGGTCAAATGGATTCCTTCCCTCTTTTTCCTCTAATTAAATAATATTGTGGCTCACAATAATATTGATGCTACTAATCAGACTACAAAGAAGGCTATGGACTGGCTTCCCAGAATCAAACAAATACAGACAATTTCTCGGGAATTTGTAGATAACCTGAAGCAAGTGAGACCCTGGATCCAACATAAAGAACTTCATTCTGAGGAACTTATAAGTTATCTCAAATAATCCTTGGCAATTGGTACCACCAAAAAAGTTGGCATCAGAATTAATTCAGGAAAGATTGATTGTTCAATAAATAACCAAGACAGAATCTGGGAATTTGAATGTAGCCATCAAGACTAAGAATGTGAGATGGTGGGTTGGGGGTGGTCTAGATTTCAACTCCATCTGTGCTTAAGGGTTTGAATCTTCTGTAACCCTTACCTCACTAGGTAGTCTTAGGTGATAGCCTTACCTGCAGTAATTTCCTTTCTCATATATGTGAAATAGTACACTTTTAACTGGGATACATGGAAGCTGGAGGTTGCAAGAGAGCTCTGTGGTTCCATGTATAAACTGCTGTAGGTACCCCACAATTTTTATAAGCATTTGGCTCATGGTTGCTTACCTTCTATTTGTTACTGTGAAATACGGGTCTGGATCAAGGCAGTGACAGCATCTAAAAATGGAAGAAAAAGTATAAACCTGAGCCCACCATTTGGGGAAGACTAAAAATGGCAGTTGAGCTGCGGACTCTTGGTTTTGGTGCAGGTTGTGATCTCGGGGTCGTGAGATCAAGCCCCACACCGGGCTTGCGCCCCGCACAGAGTCGACTTGGGATTCTCTCTCCCTCCCTCTGCTTCTCCCCTGTGCACATGCACACACACACACACACACACTCTAATAAATCTTAAAAAAAATAACATTGAGGTAAATCCAAGTACCCACCTTTTATAACAGGGAAAAAGAATGCTGAGGTGGAGTAGCAGGCAAAAACAGACTTTTCTCAGGGCCCAGACAAGGGCATTTAACAGTATAGGACAGAAAGGAAACTAGGAGCTCCTCTTTCCACTGTACTGTCTGTATGTGAGAATCAACTTATGATCTCAGCCTGTGGGCCCAAGTACTCTTGGATTAATCATATCATCAGTCAGCCTGAAATCCTCCAGTAACTTCCCACTAAATTTAGAAAGCTCATTCCTTCCTGTCAATGAAGTCCTGATTGCTCTCACACACACACACCCCCGCCACTATACTTTCTACCCCATTTCCTTCCCCCTTTCGACTCCTTTAAGCCCAGTCACTTGAGCCCTTTTTCGTCATTCACTGGAACATGCTCAGTAATTACTGCCTTGCGGCCTCTGCACTTAGGTTCCTTTCTCAGTTGTTGACTCTTCATCAATCAGGTCAAATGGCACTACTCATGGGCCCAGGTTATCACACACCCTGATTTACCTACAACAGGACTTACAAACTAATGTTTCTTTTTCTTATCTCCTCCCCCACTTGGACCACTAATTAGGATGTGTGCTCTCATTTACCACTGTATCAGCAGAGCCTAGTGTAAAGAAGTGTCCAATACATATATGTTGAATTCATGAATGCTAGCATGTGAGGTACTACTTTTAAACAAAAAGGCCAGTGGCCTTGGAATAAAAATTTTAAATTCACGAATACTACAATTTTGTCAAGGACTGTAACACTCAGTACAAAACTGAGATGAATTACATCATTTAAAAGGTTGTGGCTTCTAGGAATCCAAACAGATATGACCCAGGCAGAAATGCCAACTTAAAATGGAAGTGTTTATATAAATTAACCCATCTAGTTGAATTGGCTATGTATGCTTCACTTAGTTCTGAAGAAGGAAGAATATATACTTCCCATATTAATAAATGACATCAAATAAGTAGGAAGAGTTTCAATAACAAGGCCATAGATACATTGAAACCCCTTTTTATATTAAAAGTTTAAATGAAAGACAAATCCAGGTTGAACATAGTGATTGCAAAATATAATGCAATTTTGAACAATTAAAATTATGAAAATATACAAAATTGATGGGCAACACAGCTAGGCATTTGTACATTTTCCATTATGTGAAGAACACTAAAAATTTCTCTATGCTTTATCCACATCAGATAAATGATTTAAACCAAATGTTTGCTTTGGAGAGTCTTAACTTAGGATCTCAGTAGTATAAAAAGCAGTAATTTTTCAGTCTGTAAACAGTAGTCGTGTTTTTTCTTTCCTTTTTTTTTTTAAATTATCAATTTACCACACAAAAACAAACACAACAACAACAACAAAAAACCCACACAAACCAAAAACAGCAGCAGCAGCAATGGGTTATTTGGGAATTCTCTTCAAATACCAATGACATACAATTGCTGGAGGGTGCTTTTTACTCATGTAAGAATATATATATATATATATATTTTTTTTTAAACTGTACACAATTTATAGTGCATAACAGTTTCCAAAAGAACAGATCAATAAAAGATATTGGCCATTTCTGCATAATTTCATTCTTTTTACAATTATCCCAAAATGTAAGAGGTTGGATCTAATTGAAATGCTACATTTAGTAGGAAAGTCAGCAAGTAACAAAGGAAGCATAACCTCAACATAACATTATTTGTCACTAAAACCAGGAGAGGTCCCAGGTGCCCCTAGGCAAAAGACTAGTTAGGTAGACCACTGGAGTCAAGCACTGTCCCTGAGGACCAAAGCCAGCTCACTGACCACACATATGCTAGATTGACCATGGTCAGCTGAAGACTTGTTTCATGGAGCATTTCTATTTCTATGTACAGTATTTTTGGATATTCAAAGAAACATCATTTCAAGAACACATGCCATACACACATACCCCCACCCTCATACACACACCAAGTTCCATCATTTTAAATAGGCAATAGTTTTATGAAATTATGATACGTTGTCATTAAATTAGATTTGGAATCAGTAAGAATTTTCAACTCATCTTGTTCAAGGCAGTTCTTCCATTTGGGATGGGGTATGATGGCTGTGGGTACCAACTTACATCAAAAAATAACTTCTTGAAATTACTTGATGGACTAGGATTTCCAGCAAGTCTTATTATGAACAGATAATGTAGTAATTTTCTTAAAAATCTCCTTGGAAGTTTAAGCAGCTATTAATCACCCTATCAAATTGTGAATCTAAGAAAGTCACGATGAGGGGACAAAATGCAATTGTTTTGCATACAAAGATTTCCCAAGCTCTCTTGTTTCCTTTTAAAAGAAAAAAGTACCACATTTCACTGGAGGAGTAGGAAAGGACCTATAAGGTCTTTAAGACCAATCAACCCTCCATCAGATGCTTGAATTTTCTCATCAAACTCGTATCTTTGCTCTTACAGAATTACTAACTTTAATGGTGTTTTGAGTAACAAAGACCAAAAACAGAAGCACAGATTCAAATGCAAAAAGTTATCAAAGCAATTATATCAACTGTGTAACACTTTCAAGAGCAATGTTTATCTTTTCTGTCAGACCAACCTCTGAAGCTATAGTCTTGGGGAGCTCCAGGTAAGCAATGTAAACACCATCCTGGTGTAATTCTCAAGTTTGAAGAAAGTAGACCAAACGTCAAACCCAATGGGTAACATTTCTTTTGCCAGCCTAAAACTTAAAACCTAGGTTAAGTCCATAATATACATTCCTTCCTTCCTCCCCAAACCCCCCACTTAAAAAACACTAAAGTATTAAATCTATTTTCAAGCATATATATATGCTTGAAAATATATATGTAAAAGCATATACATATATATATATCTCACAAAACCAATGACATTGGTATTAGACTTGCTTGCATAAATTATGTACACCTCTCTTCTTTAAACAGTGATTCCCATCTTTCCCAAAGATGGAGAAAGACAGCAAGCTAGTCCTCAGCAGGCTCATAAGTGGTCTGCACTGCTTTCCCCTCCATATGGTGTAAGTTAACACAAGCCTATCTGTGACTTAACTTTCACAGGAGCTAGGATGGGGATTTCTTGGCTTTTGGACTATTAAGCCAAACACTGAGTGCCCGTGGTCATCTGAGTAGTGCTCTTCAGTGACAGGTGCTTATGCCAAATTTCATCTGAGGCTCTTTGGGTACCTGCTTTGGGTTCTGTGGGAGCCAAGCAGCTGAGGAAGCCTCAAAACTAAACTAATGTGGAAAGAGGGCCTTCTCCCAGTCACGGTCCCCCTATACTTCTGCTTTCTGCTTCCTAAGGCTCAAGGACCAGACCAAACACCCGCTACGATAATGGTAGGCCCATTCAGCTGCTCTGAGGTCAATGCTTTATGCTTAATTTCTATTGCTGCTTTTATAGGACCCCCCCCCCCGCACCCACCCACCAGATGTTTCTGGTGATAGAAGGAAAGAAGAAAAGTGGGGCTCTCTTGAGGCTGCCATATGCATATGAACATGTATAAAAAGTGGTCAAACCCAGATGAGGGTCCTGCTTCTGCTTTATATACAATAATTTAATCAGTTGTATACATTTAATACCTAAAAAATTAATTCACAATCAAAGTCCTTCATGCATTTTATGAGGAAGTTCTGGATTAAAATGATGGTCAACCAGTTGTAGCTTTTGCCTGGGAAGATGATGTCATTTTCTGCTGTAGAGTCATTGGTGCCTGTGGTTCACACTTCCTTAAATTTTTAGTTTCTTTGTGGTCTCCAGTCTTTTTTTCAGCAGCTCTCCAATTTCCAGAAGTGAGTGTAGATAACTGCTCTGCACCTTCCCTTGCACAGTCTTTGAAAATTTTCTCTCTTCCTACAAAGGAGATAAGAATTAGTGGTCTTGCTCTGAAAGCATTCCCCCAGATTATAGTTCCACTCATAGAAGTAAAAATTACCATTACCTTTGGTCTCACTGCAAGCTCCATCAGAATACAATGGGTCATTTTCAATTTCATAAAATGCAAAGAAGGCTTAAAGCTCATCACAGATGAGTATTTTTCCATGTGATTTTTCACTGACACCTTACTGCTTTAGCATCATTATTCTTTCAATTCTTTCATCAGTATTCTGTTTTAAGTTATACAAAATAAAAAAACTGAGATTCCTGATTATTAATGTTCATCCAGAAAAAAAGGTAGAAAATTATTACTAAGTAGTCTGGATATAAAATCACTACTATTTTATTAGCTGTACAAAATAGAAAAATTAAGATTTCTGATTATTTCATCAGAAAACAAAAGTAGAAATTATTAATTTGGACATTATCAGAGCCACTTCTTAAAGGCATCAAATTTACCTTTTACCTTTGCCAACTTTTCTAGTTACAATATTGATAGGTGTCCCTCCACACTGACAAAGTCCATGGGTTCCAGAGACCAAACAGCTAAAAAAATAACAAAGCTTTCCTAGACCTCCTCAAATATGTGCTACACACTTGACCTGCACGTAGAGACTACAAAAAATAAAGGGATGGAGTATTCAAACAGAGAAAGGAGGTTGGCTGAGAACTGGTTAGGGTTACATGAAGCTGGCAATTGCAAAGCCCTGAAGAACCCAGGGAAGCACACCTTTTGGCCGAACAATATTACCTTGAGACCTCAACTACTTTGGAAATACACATGTGCTTTAGTAGAGAAGGTATGTAAAATACACTTCATTCAGGACTGTAGTAAAAGTAAATGTATATAAACAACTAAAATATCCAATGGCTATGATTCATTCATATTTTGAATACCATACAGTTGTTTAAAAGAATAAGACGGATGTATATGCATTAGCCTGAACAAATCTCTTGAATACAAAGTTAGGTGGAAAAAAAGCCAAGTTTCAGTGTAAAATAGAGTTTATCATTTACTTTCAAAAACCTACCAGCTATTAGAGTACATTATAAGGTTACATTAAAAGGTCTTGGCACACAACCAGTTTCAGTGGATACCCCTAGGGAAGAGGAAAAAGGACTAGGACTGGAGGTGGCAGCCCAGAGGCACAGTGTTTCAAGTTAAGAAAGAAAGAAAGGAAAGAAAAAAGAAGTAAACCTAGTGGAAACTGAATTGAAGAAGAAAAAAATTTTTTCCACCCAAAAGACAAATAGCCAGCACTATATGGACCCTACATTTGGTGGCTGGTGCTGCTTGGTATAAGTATTACGACTTCAATAAAAATAGGCAATAAAATACCCCATCCTCCCATACCCCCTCCATTATTGTTTTGTGTAATCCTCACTATAATCCTATAAAAGAGGTATTATGATTTCCATTTTACAGATAAAGAAATTGAGGCCCAGGAAGGTTAAGTGACTTCCCAAGGTCAAAAGATAAGGATGGGGCACCTGGGTGGCTCAGTCAGTTAAGCATCCGACTCTTCGTTTCAGCTCAAGTCATGATCTCAGGATTGTGAGACTGAGCCCCGCACTGGGCTCTGTGCTCAGCGGCAAGTCTGCTTGAGATTCTCTCTCTCCCTCTGCTCGTGCTCTGTCTCTCTCTCTTCTCTGTCAAATTAAGTTTAATCTTAAAGGTTTTATTTATTTGACAGAGAGCAAGCGAGCACGAGCAGGGGGAGCAGCAACAGAGGGAGAAGGAGAAGCAGACTCTCCACGGAGCAGGGAGCCCGATGCGGGGCTCGATCCCAGAATCCTGGGATCATGACCTGAGCCGAAGGCAGACGCTTATCCTACTGAGCCACCCAGGTGCCCAAGTAAATAAAATCTTAAAGGAAAAAAAAAAAAGATGAGGACAGAGTCAAGTCTTGAAAAATCTAAAGTAGCCCAAAGTTAAAGATAACCTTCAGAATGAATACTTAAAATGAGAAATCTTATTCCTCACATCACAAGGCACAGATCCTTTTTTTTTTTTTTTTTAAAGATTTTATTTATTT